ACTCAAGCAAAAGCAACTTATTGCAGCATCTCCCAGGCTGTGTGTATATTCATCCTCATTAAATTTTTGCCATCATGACTACAACTCTGATGGCCACACATGTCTTGGGCACACATGTCTCAGTTTTCATCTGTGGAAAGGTATGCAGTAGGGATGTAACTATGGAAGGAGGGAGGCAAAATGCGGGTATTGCCCCCAATTAAGAACTCTGACCCCTCCATGAAATGTTACTTTTGCTACCCAAAGTAAAATGTAATAGGGTTTCTCCCTTATATTCCATAGGCAAAATCTAGGGCCTGTACAGACTGGCCACAAGGGCTGGCCTGGGGGTGGAGTTGAGATGGAGTGACTGCATAGCAGCTGCCCCGATGTCACTGTGACGCTGCCGTATGCCGCACACCCCACCCCATGGCGCATGGCGTTACGGCGCTCCCTTGGCACAGCGTGTAGACACACTGCGCCAAAGGAGCGCAGAACAGCCGCAGCGGTGGCAGTAAGGGCGGCTCTTTGCCGCTCCAAAAAGGAGCGCCATTTGCCAGCTCTTTTTGGAGTGGCAAAGAGCTGGATTGGGCCACGGCATGTGGTTGCCACAGCCTCGATCCAGTACTCCCAGGGGCGGCAAGAACCACCCCCTTAGGGGCTGTCTGTACGGCCCCCAAATCAAACTTGCTGTTGAATTTGAATGCAGTACTTGCTACAGGGTAGCATCCTTCAGGACATGTAAAGGCTAGCTGGAGTTTGGGGCAATTAAGAAACATTCTACCATTTCACCACCTCTCTCTGTCCACCCAACCCCCATAATTTCCTCTTGAGACAACTGACTCATTCTGCCTCTCTACATAGCTTCCAACATTTCACAAATGAAACCCTGGCTGAATCGACTGAGTTCAAACAACTTTTGCTCTTTGAACTCAGTTTGCAGCAAGTGAAGAAAGCAAAGGACAAAGAGGAAAAATGGAAGGAGGAGACTGAAACTGGGACATTTTTAAAACAGCTGAAAAAGTGGGATGACAGAGGAGTAATCAGGACAGTCCCTGTCAAATTAGGAGAGTTGGGGGTTATGGACTCAAGGCTGGTCCTGAATTCTCCACCCTCCCTTTCCAAACATCTTTTTCACTGTACTCACCTATCTTACATCAGCCATGCCAGGCTATTATTCATGGACTGGATGGCCCTTGTGGTCTCTTCCAATTCTATGATTCTATGATCAACAACCTGCTTAACAAGCCCCCTTTCAAACTACAGTACATAATTATAGTACTATGATTTAAATCCCATGGTTGCATAATATGGAATTCTGGAGTCTGTATATTTTGGTGAGGCACTAGTGCTATGGTCAAGAAATCTAAATATGTCTCCATAATCTGCAAATCCCAGTATTCCACTGGATGGAGCCATGGCAGTACAAGTGGAGTCATAGGGCCATAACTGTGTAATGTGAAAGGGTCCAGATCCAACAAGCCTTTATTTACATCATTTGTGGATTTTAATTACAAGCAGTTTTAGAAACCAATCTTGGCTGAAAGACAAGGTTATAAATATAATAAAGAGCAGGGTGAACATGAGGCAGCCCTTGAGATTGTCATAAGATTCCAAGTCCCAGCAGCCCTAGCCAGCATAGTCAATGGTGAGGAGTGCTAGGAGCTAAAGTCCAACAACCCCTGAAGATGTTTCCACCACTATGCTACAGAGCGATGTGGGAGAATAACTTACCTGCAGACATGTTCTGAAACTTGTATTTCTTTGACTTCCAAAATTTCAGGAGAGATCTTCTAGGTTTAGGTGGAGCTGGAGCATCTGGAAAGAAAACCAAGTGTTGACTTAGAAA